GGGAGTGGATTCCCAATTCTCCAGGGCCAAGGGCTCATGTTTAATGGAGCTCGAAGGTGCGCCCTTTCCCGCGGGGGGTACTCTTGCCCGTGTAGGGTAAGAATGTGCTGCTGAGCCCTCTGAACCCTGACCCTATTCCAGACCATACTCTGTTCTGGTATTGCAAAAATAGATACCCTGTTCCAGAGGAGAGAGCGTGATTTCATATACCCTGTTCCAGAGTGAGCCCAATTTTATATACCCTGTTCCAGAGTAGAATCGCTGAAAACCATACCCTGTTTGGCGGCACGTACCTGTATAGCAAATATAGGGGAGTACCCCCCCCCCCCTGGCGCCCTACCCATTCTTATTATAACTGCTCCTTTTTATAACTGCTCCTTTTACTAATTAAAGCTACACAGAACAGAGAAAAGTCAGAACAGACGTGGAGTTGTTGGAGTGAGGATCGAACTATTGACCTCTAGCTCTGCATGAAGGCTGTGCACTAACTGAGCTACGCCTGCTCCTGAGTAGTAAAAATTTTGTATGGATTTTTAGAGTAATAATAATAATACTTTAATAATTAACACATTATTGGAAAAAAATGAATTACAATGTGTTAACAAGTAAAACAGCAAAAAAATGCACAAAATCGTTAAAACATACTATACTAGGGACTGGGTTACTTTTGAAATAAATGAATGAATTTACAATGTATTAAATAGAAACCAAACGTCTTATTTTAGCATTTATTTTAATAGAAATTTGGCTTACTCTTAACTACTACACTATGTATACAGAATAACTAATGTGGTATTTGACCTACATTTTGACCTTTGATAGTCCATTATTTTGTGCCCCAGGAGAAACAGACTATATGGCCTTGTGTCTTATTTCATGGCGGCCATCACATGATGGTGCAAAGCTTCTATTCTAATTATTGTTATGACATAACAGCTTAGTTTAGATTAATAATGTTACCTTTGCTTTTATTCTATGTGATTCTTCAAGTGCCTTCAGTTGTTGGGCATTGTTTTCAAGAGCTTCCTTTACTTCATCTAACTCAGCCTGATGTCTGGCCTTCTCCTGTGGAGGGGTGTCATAATAGTGATTTTAGGTTTACAGCAGGACGTGCAAAAAAATGACTGATTTTACTAAATAAGGTGTAAGAAAGCTCGTTTGGCAGCAAAATGCTTGTGTATAGAAGTATGTGAATACACTGAATGTGGTCATCTGTATGTGTGAATGTTATGTATGATTATTTCAAAATAAATAAATAAATAAACAAATAAATAAAAATAAATAAATAAATACAGTAAATAAATAAGTAAGTAAATAAATAGATAGATAGATAAACAAACAAACAAATAAATAAAGAAATGCATAAATGAATGAATGAATGAATGAATGAATGATGGATGGATGGTTGAATGAATACATACCGCTTCCCACAATCTTTCTTTTTCTTCTCTTTCAAGTCTTTCTCTTTCTTCTTGTTCTCTCTTTTCTTCTTCTTCTCTAAGTCTTGCCTCCTCTAAGACAAAACACAATTTCAAACCAATTAATCAACTGCCCACTATTTCTCCCTTAAAATTTAATGGCTGATATATACAGGGTGGTAAAGTGGGGTACAAATCATGTCTCATGAAAAAACAGTCAAGTCACATTTTACAAAATAAATGTTGCAGCTTGCATCAATGTCGATATTCCAGGACGTAAATAGAAACGGTCAAATCATGTTTCATGAAGTAACCCTTTACGTCACTGTAAAAAACTAGCTCACACATCAATGACAAAACGTGTGTAAAATTTGTTTGACATAGCAGACAACCACACCCTATTATATATAATCCTAAAAACAGAGGGTCTAAAATGAGGAATCTTTTTTTGATTCGCAGACTTTCTTAAGTTAACAGAGTTAAAGTCAAATACAAAGAAAGATATTAATTTACTGGTAAAGTATAGGATTTGTGCAACTGCATTACAGCCAATACAGGGCAACTGCAAAAGTATGGCCTTTTTTAATGTAATCACCTCTCTTATAACAGACTTTTGTACATTAAAATGGCACATTTTGATGCATAGCTGGCTTATTTTGACTAAAAAAGGAGTGTAAAAGCTCTTTTGGCATCAAAAAGCCCATGCATAAAAAATGCAAATATATTTAAAATAAATGCAGCCATAACTCATGTTATGTGCATGTTGTTCTGATATGATAATAGTTTACTAAACAAATCTAGTGTGATCAGTGGATGATATAGACCTCTCCCAGGGGGGTACTCCGCCAGAATTTGGGTAGGGTGTTCCATTGGGATTCTGAAAGGAGTACCCTGTTTATGACAAAAAAAAATCAAATTTGTAGACCCTGTTCATGACAAAAGATATAATTAATTGCACTGAGTTCCTGTTT